TCGGGGGGGCCCAGACAAAGTGCTTCTACAAAGCTTCTAGCACCCACACCTCGCGATGCGCAAAACGAATGTGCATCGCTCAGCTCAGCATCCGAGCCGAGTCTTCTTTCCCGGGCGTCCCCGAATACAAGGGCCAACCAAGATTCTCCAAGATGAAGAGCAAAAGGCGCTCCGAACTCCTTCCTTGCAAACTTTCCACTTGTTCTCACCATTCACAACAAGAAAGCGAAATCTGATCCGGCACGGTGTGGGTCATGAGAGAAGCGTGCTTCCCTCTGATCTTCTCGCTCAATCTGCGCTTGTGCGCCCCCACTAATCTGCTCAGCCGCTTCCTTCTCTCCACTGCAACAAGACTCTTTCACATCCACGTTCATCAGTCATACTCCGACTTGCAATGATTGCATGGCATTATGACGCTTTCTTTCTTTTTTTCTTTTTTGTTTTTTTTTCGTGAATCTAGCGCCAACGTGCTCTGCTGTGCTCTTTCTTCTCTTTTTTCAGATTCTTTTTTCTCTTTCTTTTCTTTTAATTTCTTTGGCCTTGCCAACGGATCCGTACGAAGCGCGCTTACGAGGGAAGAAAGGGGCCTTCCGCAGCTCTTACGGACCGACTCTTTGGAATGGCGGCACCTCTTGCCTTCTCGTGCTCGTCGTACACGAGCGAGCACAATCCCCTCGAGAGCATGCGGCTCAATAAGCGAATTCGTTTTGCAAAAGTCTGCTTACCTCTGCATCATCCTCGTCCTCCTCGTTGCGCGCGTCCCTCTTTTCATCTTTATGCTCTTCCTCCTCATCTCGACTGTCCTCCTCCTCCTCATCTTCCTCTTGCTCGCTCTCGCTCTCGCTCGCGCTGTCCACCTCGCTCTCCTCCTCCTCCTCTTCATCCTCGTCAAACCCAATAAAGTCCTTCTGCGCAGTAAAATCCCTTGCTCTTCGTTTCGCAGGTCTGAAGCTCAATCCGTGCGCTTCTTGCTCCTCCTGTTCGAGCGCATGCGCATCCACTCTCGCTCGTCTTTTACGCGTACTGTCCGCGCCTTCGGCCGGAGGATCCAAAGCAGCCGCATCGTCCCTGAAGAAAATGTCGTCATCATCTCGAGGCTCACGCTTCTCTCCAAATTCGTCGAGTGCGTTCGCAGCGGGCGCTTCTCCCTCTACGATAGGTGCCCTGATCACATGCCACAATCTGCACCCCTTTTTTTCGCACTTGCCATGCTTGGCGAAAGCGGGGCATTCCCACGTATGCCTCTCTGCGCACTCTTTACCCCTCTCGCACCAGCCCAGACTCGAAAAGTCTTGACAGATGGGCGCATCGGGTCCGCTGATCTGCTGCGTGTGCGTATAAGGACACGACTCGTCGTTCCTGCACGTCCTTGAGCGCAGGTAGTGGACGCAGTGCGGCGAACGGTGCTCCGAAGGAGCGTGCGATAACAAGCAGGTACCCGTGGGAAGCTTGCAGCCCCCCGGCCGCAACGCTCGAGGACATAACGCTCGTTTGTTGGAATCGTGCGCGAAAGAGCAAGACAGACCTCGTTTGCATTGACCTGCGCGAGACGGAGTGGGCAGAAAGAGGAAAAGGAGTGCGGGTCCGGGAGGAGCGTCCCGAACGCAAGGATGAGGCAAAGCATCTTGAAAGAGAGACGAAAAGGACTGCGCACTTCACACGACAGCTCGACGCACCTGTCTTTGTGTAGTAGGTGCAAAGACCTCTTTGTTCCGACTTGAGCGCCTTCGATCCTTGCGGATCTTCGCCAGCAGGACGTTTGCTACGCAAACAGTCGCGCAATCTAAGTTTCGTCCCACACGCACGCAAGACGACATGCGCGCATATACTCACCGATGTTGCTCCCTGCTAGCCACTTCCTGACCAAGCCTTTCCATGCGCGCCAACAATCCTCTGCGCACCTTTGCCTGCTTCTTGGCAACTTTGACTTCCTTTTTCTGCTTTTTCAGCTCGGCATACTCGGCAGAGATGAGGTTGCCACCTTTGGTCCTGACAAATCCTTGGCCATCCACACTTGCTCGCATAGGAGTCGATTGATCCGATTCGAGCATGCTGCCGTCCGAGCTTGTGCTAGCGGAAGGCTGGGCTTGAGAGGTTGAAGCTGAAAGATGTGCGTTGGTCGCTTGATTCCTGACATCAGATCGACCAGCACTCTTGACCAACTTTGTCCCAGTCGAATCGAAGGTAAAGGTGACTCCATCAATGATGACTTCCCCCATCTTTGCTCCTCTTCGCACGTCTGCTTGTCGAGATGGTGGCGCAGCGGCAGTGGCGGTGGCAGATGAAGAGGCGCCTCTGCCCCTGCCTCGCGAGGTGACACCACGAGGTGTTGCTCGACCGCGCGGGACGTACGATGGGGCGTGCCATGCCCTGAGTGGAGCACGTACCGACGATGCGTTCCATGAAGAGGTAGGCTGAGCAGCGGTACGACGGTGACAGAGAAGCTCAGCGTCGTGTGGCAGCATACACTCACGTGCTATTCGATGCCGATGCGAGCGATCTAACTGGGACAGGTGCCGGCGTGGTTGCGAAGCTGCTGGCGGACGCGGGTGCTGATGCTGGTGCTGGTGCTGGTGCTGGTGCTGGTGTGGTGGCAGATATGCCGATGGGCGTGGTGACCAGACTACTGGTCGAAGTCACAGATGAGGTGTGATCAGGAATCGAGGAATGAAGTACGAGCGAGCGATTCTTGTGCGTCGTCGTAGGCCTGCCTCTGGACGCTCCTCTGCCTCTGCTTGAGCCTCTGCCTACATGCGAAGAGCTGCTGGCGAAAGATGACCAGGCAGGTGCATTTCTATGAGACTCTATGGCCCCTGATAAGGCAGCTATTTGCGCCAAGAGGGTCGCGTTGTCGTCCGACATGAAAATGAGCAGGGTGTTGTGGAAGGGTGACTTGCCAGGCTGGTTTGGATGCGCACTTCTTTGTTCGAGATTGGCCCTGCGATAGATCGTCGTC